GGACACTCCCAGGGATGGGACACTTCCAGCATGTTAAATCCAGATTCCAGCCCCAATAAACCCCAAACCCCTCTGATTTCCAGTGCTTTCCACAAGTGGTTGTTTCAGGCCACTGCAGTCCCACTCCTTCCCATTAATGCTCCCAGGGAGGCACTGACACCACCAAAATGTCACTCCTAACAAGCTGGTATTTTATGGGAATCCTAAACGACCTTGATCAGGCTCCTGCCTGATCCCAACGTTCTAAAAAGCTCTTCTGGCAGGATTTTCAGGTTATTCATCTTTCCTCCAGGTGTGTGCACACAGCCCTGAGTCATGGGCCATGAACAGATGGGAGTTCTCTTATATTTATGACCTGCCATCTCTCTTTTCTTTTTTTTTTTTCCTAGAAATTAATTTTTCATTAAACCACTTTGAAAAATCTTTGAATTAATTTAATAACTTCATTCAAGGGGGAAAGATAACCTAGACCAGGCAGTTTTTAAGAAAACTCTTTGTGTTTGATTAATCAGCAAGTTGACCCTCTGGATATTGGATAAAAGGTGTGGGATTATCCCTTCTGGTTAAATCAGTTTTCCTTGTCTCTGGTTCCTTTTATAGGGAGCATCACCCCCCTGCCTCATTTTCTGTGGTGAATTCCTGCCCATAGTTCATAACCACGAGTGTTAATTAATGGGGTCACAGGGAAAGTGGGACAGGAAAAGGGGACAATCCCAGAAACTGGGACCTGCTGCTTCTGCCCCCCAAGAGATTTGCAAATTACAGATGAAAACACTCGTGCAGAGCACACACACACGCACAAAGTTTGTGGTGGGTGTTTTGTCACAAGATTCACAGGTTTGGAGTGTCTCAGGTGTTCAAGTGCAGGGGAAGTGCTCTTGATGGGAATTGAATTGCCTTGGAATAGCTGGGAGCAGAGAGAGAGCCCCAGTTGTTTGTGGCAAACTGCTGGGAGAAACCCTCTTGGGCTGTAAAACATCATACTATAGGAAATAATTAACACAGTATAGATAAATATAAAATAAGGGCCACCTGATGGGGACCTGACTTGTCTTGGAATAGTTGGGAGGGGAAAGTGAGCCCTAATTTTTTGAGACAGACTGCTGGGAGTGCAGCAGATAGTACAATACTCTTGTATTGTATCATCATATGCATAATGTTCTACATAACAATCAATATAGCAAAACACATCTAAATAATATATGAGATATATAATATATATATTATATATAAAATGCATCTAAATAATATATTATAATATATACAAATATAAAATAATAATTAAATCTGTCAAAAATAAAACAAGCACAAAATAAAGCAACAACTAAGAACCAAGAGAAACGTGGATTTCAGAAACTACCAGGAATCAGTTCAATGGAGATTGGCCTGGCCAAGGCCTCCCCTGGGACTTTTGGGAACACTGACGTGCCATCATTAGGAAGGTGACATTATAAAGGTGATGCCATCCTTAGGGCTCAGTGGCAGCTCTCTCAGGGCACAATCCAAGCCCATCCCTGCTGTTCCACGTGCTAAACTGAGCTTTCCTGAGCCTTTTCTAACCAACCACCCCAGCAAAGGCACTGCTGGAGAGATTTATTGGCACAGCAAAGTCAAGTAAATTCAGTGGTACCTGATGTAAATCAACTTTTCCCACTTGGGCTCAGCAAAGGTGCTGGAACTGCAAGGGCCACATAAGGCTCTTTTCATCTGTTCTCACTCAGTGAAGGAGAAGAGAGGGAAATTAGGGCTGTTCAGGCAACACTGACATTTGGAGAGGCAGTGAACTGCTCACATCAGAACACACTGGATCCTCAGTGTGGATAAAACATGCCCAGTCTGGCCATGGATACCTGGCAGGACATCCTGGTACACTGGGTACAGAAAAACCCTAATTTTGCCCTTTGACAAAACATCCCAGGGCTTTCAGCTCCACTGACACGGGCACAAAGGGGCCAGAGGAAACAATTGAGCCCTAAATATTTTCCCTGTTGGCTTCCCACACTCGTGGGAGCCCTGCTATTTATATGCATGAATGATTTACTTCTCTATTACCAGTTACCTCCCTTGATTAAATATATTAGTGCCTTTTAAGTTATTTCAAGCTACAATCATTTTAAAATTAAATGATCCTTCGAGTACCCTTTGGGAGCTGAACACTAAACTGACAGTTCCAAAATGCAAAAAAAAATGGTGGTTGTGCTGATTTGATTAATTAAACTGTACCTTTGATCACAGAAACCAAACAGGAGAATATTAAACCTCTTTTTAATTTGAGAAAAGCAGTAAAATAGCAAATTTTACTCTATTGTCATGGTCAAATGCTGTCTGTGTTCACTTGACAGCTTAAATTGTCACCTTAAGCTGCTGGAATTTCATTTGGCTTCACCAAATGTCCCCAGAAGAGCATTTCTGGGTTTTCCCCCTGCTGCTGATCGATTATGTCCGAGCAGGAAACGTCTTAAAAACTTTTCTCCCTTTAAGCCTTGCAAAAGATCTGAATTTAAATGGCACTTTTAAGGCTCTTTGGAGCCCGGGTACAACAGCAGCCCGGCTTTTGAAGAGCTCACAGAAATACTTCTGGGCCGAAAGAAAGGAGAGAAGTGACAAAAAGAGGAAGATAAAAGCAATCCCAAGTCCCAAACCTACAGAATCCCCTCAGCCTTGGCCTATTCTTTAGAACTAAACCTCATTTTGCAAATCAAAGGAGCAGCTGCTGAACTTGCCTTAAAAAAGAGGTGGGTGCTGAATGCAGGGCTGAGTGCAGGGACACTGGTGCTGCCATCCATCCATCAGCCCCTCGGGTCCTCCTGCTCCCACCCAGGGTCTCCCCAGCCCTGGACCCACCCAGGACACCACGGATGGGCTCCCACTCTGAACTTCCCAGCCCTCTTGGGCTTCACCCTCGGAGAGGAGGCTCAGCCCCCCCCAGAGGATGCTCTGCAGCAAACACGGGCAGGGCTGCCCAAATACCACAGCAAAAAAGCCACAGGTCAGTATTTAGAGCCAGCACTGAGTAGCCTCACCTGTGGAATTAGATGTTACTGGGAAAGGGACAAAACAGGGGGGAAATTTTTTTCTCTCTTTGGACAAAACTTTGAAAAAAAAATCAAAAATTCCACACAGAAGCCTAAATTGATTTTAAAAAAAAAAATCCTCCAAACATTTTCAGCTTTCACTAGTGCTTAACACCACGTCTCCCTGTGTGAAAACACCCTTCAAATTGGATTTGCAGTGCTGTCTGTATGTTTTATTTCCCTTTGTGAGCCGAGGGAGCGCTGCTTTGTAAGATTTATCCTGGGCAATTAATATATCAAGCATAGAATCCCACCACTGATTTCCCCAAAGAGGTTTTGGCAGCTCTGGGTTGCACTGGGAGCTCCTGCCCGTAGGTCTGAACCCTCTAAAAGTTACTAAAGAGCACGAGGACGTCACCAAATTAAAGCAATTCAGTTAAAATGAACGTGGCACTTTATCCACCCAAAGCCAACATATGTTACACATGATAAAAATCTCGGCTTTCCACCCCAAAACAACAGGTGTCTCGGTGATAAAAGTCAAGACAAAAGTGCTAAAGCCTCTCACATACTTTCCCCAATTTCTACAGCAACAGAGCTGTGACAGAGGGCTCCTGACTGCTCAATTTGATGGCCAGGCAGACTTATAAAAGCTGAAATGCTGAGTTTCCTAGGGGAAGACATAATGAAATCAATGCACTCATGAATATGGATGGAGGGACAGGGCCATCTGTTCGCCACCAACATCTTTGCTTAAAACAAGTTTCGAATATTTCGCCTGAGAAGTCGCATCTTTATTTCCAGGGATAAAATTAGACCTCGAATTTTCACCATCTCCGGTCTTTAAGTGCCATTGTTATGGAAATGTAGGGTTTTTTCCCCCCAAATGATAATCAAAAAATTGACTGATAATACAGTTTGACAAAGTTCAGGTGGAGATTTCAGCGTGTCTGTGGAGAAGCTTCAAAATATTGACAGTCGGAGCACGTGGCACATAATGTAAATATAACTTGCTCTGTCCTCCTCAGAGAAACAAGAGCCTGTGATGTCCTGCCCTCATTTGTATCCTACATCCATCTGACTTCCCTTCTGTTTTGAGGGAAAACATCATAAGGCATTTTTATTCTGCATTCATGAAGCTGGTGTTAGTGTGGACCCTGATGTGCAGGGGAGGAACAGGGAACGGGGGGGAGGAGCTGCTGCTCCCATCCCTGGGGGGGGGTGGGAATGATCCAGGAGCTCCCCAGGCCCAGCTGCTCCTGAGGTTTGCCAGGAAGGCCGAGGGGATGCCAGGCTGGGATAAGCTGAGCTCCCAGGTCACTGTGGGGACGCTGAGCCTGAGCCAGGCAGGGCAGTTCAGCCCCCACTTGTGCACTCTGAGAGGGCTTTTGGGAGCCAGGAGCCAAGCTGTGGGAATTAAAACCCAAACCACTGCAAATGATCCTCTGGAGAAAAGACAGCTCCGAGGGGATCCCACCAACACACAAGGATCTCAGGGCAGGTGCCAGGAGGACGGGGCCACACTCTCTGTGTGCCCAGGGACAGGATGAGGGGTAAGGGCACACACTGAATGCCAAAGTTCCATCGGAATATGAGGGAAAACTTCCTTACTGTGAGGGTGACAGAGCCCTGGAACAGGTGCCCAGAGAGGTTGTGGAGTCTCATTCCCATGAGATATTCGAACCCACCTGATGTGACCCTGTGACCTGCTCAGGGTGACCCTGCTCGAGCAAGGCATTGGATCACATTTTCTCCAGAGGTTCCCTTCCAACCCCAACCAGCCTGGGATTCTGGAAGTCACAAACTGTGTGGCAGCAGGAGCAGAGCTGAGGCCCCTCATAGGAACCATCTCAAGCAGGTTGCTCTCAGTTACTGTGCTCAATGTTAGTTAATAGTCAGCTCTTGGTTACTCGGAGCAACAAAACTGAGACAGCCCAGATGGATGAAATTCTGACATCAAAGAAATGAGTGTAAGAACGTACTCACAGGGCAGGGCATTGGCACAGAGTGCTCCTCCCGGGGGTCCAGCTCAGCCCCACAGGCTCCAGCAGTGGGTGATGGCTGGGACCGGGGTTTCTCAACATTTCTCAGTATGTTTGGTTTCAAACCGGAGCAGATACACGAGGTGTCCTGTGATGAACTCTGCAAAAAAACAAGGAAAAATAAATCAATTTGGGGCTTGAATGTTGCAGTATTGTAAGCCAAAACATTCCTCTCTCTTTCACAAATACCACGTTGATGGTATTTATGTCTGTTTTAAAAAACATCTCAAAAGAAACCTAAACAAAAAGATATGGGAGTAAAAGCATTAAAATTGAATATTGTCCACACAGTCAGGATTTTTCTAAACAAACCTTGGAAGATCAATACTTGCCCAAACCCTGCAGTGTCACTGACATGAGGTTTTGGTCAAAAAAAATGCCCCACCAGGGCTTTCCCAGCAGCCCTTCCAAGGCAGGAAGAGTGACAGGGATGAGAGACATGCTTTGAAACACCACACAGTTATTTCAGGCACGGCCTCTGTGTGAGCCCAAACTCTTCCTGCAGCCCCCCAGTGCTGTCACTGCTCTGCTCAAAGCACAAAGAGCCTCTGACAAAGCCCAGCCGGGGCCCCAAAATCAGGGCAGCCCAGCAGGGAACCCCCAGATCCCTCAGCCCCGGCTGGAGTCACTAATTAGCTGAGGCTCAGAACGAGCCCCAATCCTTTTATTGCCCCATCCATGCTGGGAAATGGAAAAGCAGGAGCGGAGCTGTGCAGCACAGCTCGTTAGAGCTCCTCTCCGTGATTACCAGCACATTGACTGTGACACTGCCCAGCCGCTCCCCTCTGGAATTGGGGCTGTTCCATTCACAGCTGCAATGGGAAGTGCTCGCTGGAATCATTCAGGGACACCCGACCCAGCCACGTTCCCACCTGGGGATGGAGAACGGGCTGAGCTCACGGCTGGGGCTCATTTCCCAAATTCATTCCTGCAGCTGATCCCGAGCCGGGACAACCTGGACAGGTTACACCAGAACGGCTTCTCCCTTTGCATCCCAAATTCGGGCATTATGCTCAACCTGCTCCTCCACTCCCATTCAAAGGTGCAGATTGCTAAATTTGCATAATAACTATCTACGGCTAATTATCCTGATTTGTTAGTGGAAAGAGCCACTTTCTGCAGGGCTTAAAATCACCATAAACTGTGCATAAGAATCAAGAAAACACCGATTTATCTTATTAACAGTGGAAGCAGTTTACGTGTTCATTAGCAGGGGATTATTTGAAAGGCATTAAAGGGCTCTAAGGACCAGCTCACCTGACAACCCCTGAGCACCCTGAGGTGCTGCAGGTCAGGGCTGGAGCAGGAGACAATCAGCAGCTCAAAGAGCAATGGGTGAGGCCAAGGGAGCACCCAGGGGTAACCATCCTGGGAATTCCTATTTGGCACAACAGGCACACACTGTGTGGACACTGCAAAGGTGCAGAAACCTCTGAGAAAGGTATTAGTTGAAGAAAAGTGAGATAAAACCAAGTGCTTGCAGCAGCAGTGTGTAGGTGAGCTCAGCAAGCTCCCGTGCATAGAAAACAGGCAGTTAAAATTCATTTTCTGCCTTTCTTAGCATGATTTTGGACATATTTCTATCAAGGTGCAAAGCTGAGCTCCTGTTTCCTAGAGAGCTTCGATGCCTCCCTGATATTCTCAGTGCTCTGCTTGGCTGGCAGCTGCTCCCAGCCCTCCCCTTCCAGCAGCTGTCAGAGCAGTTCCCATAATATTCATGGACTCTCCATGTTTTCCAGCAGCAGGTGGTACAATTTCTGTATCTGCAAACCATCAACATCCACATCCAGATTTTTCTGCTTAACAGCTACTACACAGCCACAAAGTGTTATCTGTTCCTGCACGTATTTTTAATACCCCCCAGTAAAAGCTAAAGTGAGGAACTTGTGTTTAAGGAAAAGATGTTCCCATGAAACTTTAAGTGAGATTTTCACAGTGGGAAGAGATTACAATAATGGAGACTCTAAAATATAGAGCCATTCACTCTCCCTTTTTCCTGTGTCCCAGAAATATCCTCCTTAGTTTTTCACTATGGGATTGCCACAGGCACCCAGGCCATGGGGATGCTTGGAAGGGGACAAACTCCTGACACAGCTTGGAAAACCCCAGGCAAAAGAAGTCAAAGGATCCAGAGAACAAATGAGAAGCAGATTGCACTAAAGTTTCCCCTTCAAAGACCCCAAACCCTTTACTTTGTGCTGGTACAAAGAACAGAAATGTGAAACCCAAACCAAAATAATTATTTGCTGCTTTGCCATCAAATTTTCCACGAGACTTAATGGAATTGGGCAGCTTTCAAACCAACAGCTAATTTCCACCAGAAACAGGTCCACTATCCATGCCCCTAAAGAAAAAATAAAAATCTATGGATTTTGGAACACAACCCCTTCCCTGAAAAAGCCATGAAACACAGAATTACGTTCCCATGACAAACTGCACGACTATAAATCTTTATTTCATGGTGGTGTGATGGATTTAATAACAGGATGCATTTAACAATTCCTTTTTGCCAACCTCTTCCTTAATTTCTTAGGAAAGAACTTGCTGGGTTTAAGGCAGGTTTTAAGGAGCTAATTTTCCTTAGTGATCCTGAAAAGAGCTGGAGTGTAATTGCCAGGGAGTTAATGGAGTCATTGTGCATATTTTTGTTCTTCATTTTCCCAAGCACAATTTGAACCTTCCAGAGAGGTAACAAAGAACAGAATATTAGAGGCATCTTTTCCAACCCATCAGGTGAGATTCTCATCACACACCAACCCCATGCAGCTAAAAATTCAACTGCAAAACCTGTGTCAGCTGCTCTCCAAAACAGTTTTCTGTGTCAATAAAGCAGCAAGTCATAAATAAATAATAACACACAACGGCCAGAGGTGTCCCTGCTTTTGGGGAATCTGCTGGAATTACTGTCCTGCCTGTGTGTGAGGGTCTGTGTGTTACTCCTTCCTTGCCCAGGGCAAGGGATTGGAACAAGAATCCCAGGATCACCGAGGTTGGAAAAACCCTCCCAGCCCATGGAGTCCCCCCTGTGCCCCATCCCCACCTTGTCCCCCAGCCCAGAGCACTCAGTGCCACAGCCAGTCCTTCCTTGGGCACCTCCAGGGCTGGGCACTCCAAACCTCCCTGGGCAGCCCCTTCCAGTGCCTGACCACCCTTTCCAGGAAGAAATTCCTCCTGATGTCCAACCTGACCCTCCCCTGGCACAGCCTGAGGCCGTTCCCTCTCCTCCTGTCCCTTGTTCCCTGGGAGACCTGCTGACCTTTGAGGTCCCTCCCAAGGGGAACCACTCTGGGGCTCTATAAATGCAACCACCTCCCTCTCCTTTCATCTCCTGCTTCCTGAAAATGGTGTCCCCTCATTCCATCCCTGCAGCACACCCTGCCCAGGCCCACAGGCTGCTTCTTCTTCATCATCATCATCATCATCACCACTACTCAGGAGTTCCTGCTGAGGGCTCCCAAACACCCCCAGCTGACAAAACACACCCTTGTCTGGGCTCCTTCATCTCCACCATGGACCCACCCAACCACCTGCACACCAAGGAGGCAAATGGAGCACCAGCTCCTCAGTTTTCAGGCCAAAAATCAGCTTTTTAGGATGCAAACCAGGTATATCCATCCCCTCCTTGCTGGGCAGTTTGTAGCAGGGAGGGGTGCTGAGCACCCACCACCCAGGTGAGAAAACCCAACTGTTCCTCACAAATGGCCAAGGACTTTTTGCAAAGAATGGGGTTTTTTTTTTGCCACAAGGTTGATTTTGATCTTGAAGACTAAAGAAACATCAAAGGGAAGTACCTGTGGGTATATGATATTCTCCTCGAACAGGCATGGGCTCATGAATACCGATTTATAAATATTCAGGATAAATATTGTACACTGAGAGTTCACCCGAGCCCTGCTCTGCTCCCCCTGCAGCCCCACGGAGGTTTGGACTATCCCACCTTGGGTTTCACCTGCTGTTCAGCATCCAGGTCCTGTCCCACCCCAGGGTTCTTTCTGTGCCCAGGCTGTGCTGTAAATGTGGTTTGAGGCAGTGCTGGGTTTGCAAAGGCAGCTCTGGGCGTGTGGGGCAGAGGGAGGGGAAGGCTGGAAGCCAAAGCAAGGTACTCACAGGAAAAATGATCAGTAACCCAGGCTGAAACCAAAAGGACAATTATCAAAAATGGCAAATTCCACTTCATTTCTCAGCAAAAAGAAAACCTGAAAGAGCACCAGGCTTTGCACACCTTCCCAGCCAGGCTTGCCCAGGGCACGCAGAACGAATTTGGATTTATCCTCTCCATGGTTGTTTCCAGAACCAACTGCAGAGCAGGAGGTTATCACTTCATTCCAAACTCCTCTGTTCCAGCTCTGAAAAGCTGCTCCCGGTCCTGCTCTCCAAGCTGCCTTTGCAGCCCAGCATCATTTCTAATCTCACCCTGAGAAAACCTTCATAAATCTGCTAAATGACCCCGATCTGCAGTTTTCTCACTCTCAGTTTGCAGCGTCACCTTATCAAAGAGTTTCTCTGCCCAGATGGATTTAAAAAGCACGCTTATAAAAATCAGAGTCCCTTGATAATCTAATAGGTCTATAAAGAAAACATTTCTTTTTCCCACACAACGCTGGAAAAACCTTGAAACTTGTAAACAAGCAGGAGATGTGACAGCAGCAACTGGTCTCTGTTAACAGCAAAATATAAAGGAAAGAAAATATGAGTAGAAAAAGTGTATCTTGCATATATAATATAGTTTCTGCAGTCGGGTGCTTTCTGGAGCTGCACAAGTTTGACTCAGTGTTGTAATTAAAATGTTCTGTAACAGTGGTAATTATCCCATCAGGTAAAGCACAATGGATGGCAGCACAAGCCTCCAATATAATCATTATTTTAAAGCTTCATTTCAATTTTTGTGGCTTTTTAAGCACCTCCCTCCTGCCTGGGAACAAGGATTTTTACTGTGGTCCAAGCCTCTGAGTGGGACAGAGTGGGATTTTTGTTACCTTCTTCTCTCCACTCCACACCAACTGTAATTTTTATCAACTTCAGCCTTTTGAAGAGGGCTAATTCTAATAAAATTAGATTAAATTGAGATTAGTTAAATTAAAATCCAATTAACCTGGGCAC